TAACGGTCTGTCTGACCAACTCATACTAGGAGACTGTAAGGGGTTTATGTTCCAGTCCAATGATTGTTGGAACTGTGTTGTTCAGTGTTGGGTTTGTTCTCTGCATCTGAAGAAGGTGCTGTTCATGGTTAGTTCGAACCGAGTCATAGTGCCGGGTGTAACCGTTTGGCTGGTCACTTGGCTCCCTTCCTCTGACCCAGTTGTTCATCTGCTACCTGTGAGTATTCAATATCATTTATTATCATTTTTGGTTTCTATGGTGTTATTTGGATTTTACGGGTTCCTTGTGTAATGTTTGTTAATTAATGAGTACGTACAACTTAGTGTGTACGAATTGTGCAAATATAATAGCATGTTGACAGTTACTACTAAAATAAATATACACTATTCTAAATGGACTGTATTGTTGCAGCTTTTTATTCATGGTCACGTTGGTGTGAACTGCTGCACTCCTAGCCTTGTATGCCAGCACATCAACTTGGACACTGACAGCCCTAGCCTCTGTACTGTTCCTCCCGGGCCCATTATTAAGTACCTGTGCCGGTGAGGAGGATATTTGCCCTCCAGTGAAGTTGTTAAGACACCAATTTACCACCTGTGCCGTGTTGATATACAAGACCCCACGCTCGACATCCAGTGTCTACACTCCCGATGCTCGAAATGATTTAAAGCGACACCCACAATTAAGGACACCTGTATCAATTAAAAGCGAATCTTTCCTATTTTATGCGAGTCAAATCTGGCATGTCATATAGAAATACACACTATTTTAAGTTTCGCGCCTAATGTTTCCCGCCAGACGCCTCACTGGGCACGCTACAAAGCTGCCCGCCACCCTCCGGCATCCTCAGTTCTCGAGCTGTTGCTCTATTGAACGGACATACTGCATCTTCAGAGGACGACTTGCCTAACTAAAGGTGGGTGAAAATCTATTTTTTGTAGCATAAAGTAATGAAAAACTAAGTTGAGAAGAAAGTGAAAGAGCATAGTGAGTGGTAGGGATGGACCGAGGCAGACGAGTGGCAGGCGGTGTGCGGCACCAGCGCGACCACCCTCTCGCATCAGCTGATCGCTAGTATACAGACCATTTTGCCTCTTGTAATTTTGCTGCGTTGATTTATGAGTGCTTGCTGAATATATATCAGTACAACATATATTTTTCTCATATTTATTAGTTAATACAAGTCTTTTTAGTATTTTGTGTTTCTCTCAAGTACCAAACTAAATTATTCCACTGAAACAACACTTGGATTTAGTGCGAATTTGATTTAAAGTGACCTCTCTTGGAACGTATCTCGTTATATCGATGTTCTACCGTATTATTTATTTGTACAGTACTGTGTGTGTGTCCACACACACACACACACATACTGTATATACAATACAGATAAAAGAAATAATTGTCCTTAGGGCATACACATAAAGGGACTATACACTTCTTTGTACACAAGTAAAAATGTACCCCCCCCCTCTCCTGGTCAGCAAATGTTATTCGCGGATTTGGAGAATCGCGGCCATTTTGAGAACCTAACCCCCGCGAATTTGGAGGGCCTACTGTAATGTACTCTCGAGTCCCTAAAAAGTTAATAAGGCCAATATCAAAACACACAATTCACAGAAGACAGGATAAAAATCTATTACAGTTGGGTCTGCATTTACATGGTCAATTGAACCCTTGGAGGCCCGCGTAAAATGAGAAACGCGTAAATGAAACAACAGAACATATGGGATTCATTGAAATAGAAACTGGACAGACCCCCAAACTCCACTTTTTGCGACAATACGTACGTTGTAGTAAAAATAGTATCTTAATTTTATGATGGTATGCACACACACATAATATAGAAGATAAATATCAATAAGAGAATAATATACTGTACCAGGTAAAAGAAAAATCAAGGTTTAACACTTACGTTAGTAGAAGAGATGGGTTGGCATACGGGAATGGTGGCTGGTTCCGAGGCAGAGGGCAGATTACTGGCCCTCAGGTGAATCACCATCACTATCCACCATAGTTGTCAGGGCCTCCCTGACAAATCCCTCAAAGTCAACATCACTGTCACTATCACTGGCTTGGGCTGGCTGTAGTGGGTTGCGGGCAAAGAGGTCTGTGATGTTACGCTTACGGCTAGTGTTGATGTTGTCGTGATACATCTGGATGTATGGCTCCATAGTATGCAACAGCTGGTTATTGAAGACTTCATAGTGGTGATCGTCAGGGTCGTTGGAAAGGATGAGCTTAACATTACCATGCGTTAACTTGCGTTCTTCTTGGGATGACGCACCACCTGCCTCTTCACTGAAGTCATTATCTTCTAACATCTCGTCGGCAGTCACCTCAGGATCCGTGATCACCTCCATAATGTCGTCGTTGGTGGTCTTGGAGAAGCCTGCAGCTGTAACACTGTGCAGCTTCTCTTGCAAGGTCCACTGCCACTGCAACAGACTGAACCTCACCAGTCACAGGTTGACTCTGCCTCCCACCTGGGATACCTTGCAACACATGCCGCCATGCGTGACGAATCGTTGCCACAGACAGCTGCCCCCATGCCTCCACAAAGAAATCAACAGCTTTCTTTACGTTAAATTTCTTCTAAAACTGTTTGACGCGAACTTCTTGATCTGCCAACTCTTGTTCCTTGTCGTCGCTATCACTATCGGTGTCACCCAGGTTACGCAATTCATCCTTGGTGTTGGTACAGTCGTTCATGAGCTTAAACTTCTTTGTAAAGAATGCAGCCTTAACGTTGCATATCAACTCCTGGTCCATGGGCTGGATTAACGACGTACAGGTAGTTCTGCTATAACGCGATAATTGTGTTCTTGTAAAATATCGTGTTATAGAAAATCGCGTAATAGAAATAACAGGGCTTATGGAGAAAATAGGGTTAGGTGCAGATTACTCGAAATCGAAAAAATTTAGTAGTTAGCCTAACACAAAGGATAGCACAGTCTAAATAAATGTTACATTCATATCTAATAATGAAATCATACAGTAAATTTAACACTTTACCTTGAAAAAATATGAATGTAACTTGATGGGGGAGAAGGGTGATTTTGAGGTTGATAACATCAAGCTTCTCTTCAAGTGTTATATCCTTTCTTTTACGATAATCACCGGGAATTCTATCATCAGAATGCTTTTTGGAGATATTCTTCTTTACCATATTCACAGTTAATACCACAAAATTGGAGAAATAGTAAGCAAAAATCGCGTTATAGCAAACAAGCGATCGCGTTATACAAATATTGTTCCGAATTCATAAATCGCGTTAGAGCAAATTCGCGTTATCAAAACACGCGTTATAGCAGAACTCACTGTAGTGTTGGGAGGAAGGAAGACCACTTTTACGTTGGGGTGACGATCCAACAGTAGGGGCGAGTGTCCTGGTGCGTTGTCAAGGAGCAAAATGTTGAATGGAACATTCTGTTGCTTGCAGAATTTCTTCACGTCGGGAACGAAACAGTCGTCAAACCAGGAGAGGGACAGAGCAGTGAACATTCATGCCTTATGTGCGGTTAGCCAGTGGACATTTAGCTTGGTCATGTCCATGTTCTTGTAAGCATGCGGCTTGCAGGCTGTGTGGATCACCGATACCTTGAGCTTACAGGTACCGGAGGCATTGGTGGTGAACAGGACTGTGATGCGCTCCTTTCGCAACTTCCTGCCCCGACACTTGCTGGTAGATTTGACAACGAAGGTCTTGGAAGGTAGCTTTTTCCAAAACAGACAGGATTCATCCATGTTGAACACCTGGTCGTCGGTGTACTGTCCTTCCTCCATAATGTCACGTAAGAATGGAGGAAAATCACTAGCCGCAACAAGGTCAGCACTCGCTCCTTCACCACCAATGTTAATGTTGGTGATCTTGTTCCTCTTCTTAAACCCTTGCAGCCACCCAGAGGAAGCAGTGAAGGGTTTGGGCTCTGCAATTCCCATCTTACGTGCCACTGCCACGTACAGTTCACGTGCGTAGTCCTGAACTGACCGCGTGTCCACCGCCATGTTCCGTCTTGCATGACGAATCAAGTAGCACACCAGCAAATTCTCAGTCTTGAGCAGCACCTTGTTCTGGCAGTACTTCACCATTGAAGCACCTGCGGACTTTGTGATGCTCATATGTTCTTTTATCTTGGCGGCAACCAAGATCAACTTGCCTCGTACCTTTTTCCAACTCCTGCACGATCTTGCACTTAACTTCGTAAGTTAGGGCACGTGGTATCTTCTTTGGCTTGGAGAGGCTGGGTCCAGGTAAAGCAAGGTTTTTCTGTGGTGGGGGGGTCCAGCGGAAGCCATTCTTACGAGATTAGCGGGAACAATAGAACACAGTTTACACGGAGTGACTGGGAGGAGAGCGGCTTCTTCCCTCCCGTGGCAGGGCACGTCATATTACACTGAACCAATCACAGCTAGCGGGTGAGGGAGGTAAGGATGCGTGGCCCAATCGGTCCAATACGTCATAGGACGTCACCGATAACGCAACAGCGACATACTGCGCAACCTTACTCGCGCAGCTTACCCAAGCATGGCGGGAGGTTTGAATCCAAAAATGGTGCGGCGCGGCTGGACTGCCAGCTGCTCTACACGTAAATGACCAAATTTACCGCGTAATTAAAGCATTTCAATTCTGGCAAGGCACCGCGTAAATGACCAAACGCGTAAACCAAACCCGCGTAAATCCAGACTCAACTGTATACACAGGATGAATATTCAGAGGAGTGAGAGCTTCCTTTTTTATTATCCTTCCCTGAATGAACGTTTGGAGGGATTAAAGAGTGATGTTGTCTGTCTGTCTGTCATAATTGGTGTCCATTCACAACTTCCCAACAATACAATAGATTGATAATGACTCTTTGTGTACGGGGTGCTCTACAAGCTGAATAAAATTGTCTGGTGTCAACCCCCCAAAAATATTAAAAGTGGCATCCTTGTAGTGAATAGGTTAATATTGGGAAGTCCTAGTTGATGGTTATTTGGGGAAATACTTCACATTACTGACCTTCAGCTGAAGAGGCAAACTGAGGTAGTCCTTGCGGTCAAACACCTTACGTAGAACCTCCAGTCCCCCGTGTTGCACCAACACTTGTTGTCCAAATGGAAATCCTCTCACCAAGCACGATAATGCATACACGGCCTTCCGCGCCACACCTTCCTACCGATACAATAAGTTTATCATTTACTGGCTCGATATATATTAATTGAGGATATTTTAGGTTGACAGCGACTATACTGGATAGTACTGTACTCTGAGACTATATGCAAGAAGACATTTTTTATTACACATGATAACTACTGAATCCATTCTAGTGGAGTGTAGTGTGTAAAACAGGATCATAGTAAGTTTGAACACGTGGAGAGAAGGGATAAGACCAATTGGGCCAAGACGTGCAAGAGTCAAAATGTGGAGACGAAGACAACCCGGGTCACGGCAAGAATGACTGGGAAGAGCAGGGGTAGAAATTCACCGTTCTTTCATAGCCGCCAGCAGGACTTGTAGATTTGAAAATTTACTAGTCCGTATAAATTTTTACTAACCCTTAAACAATTTGTCAAGAAACATAAAACATTAGCACTTACCAGGTTTATACAAAGTTCCATTTACTGTGTGACTTTTATTTACTAGTAGAAACCATGTTAAATCATAAACCAACACTGGAATAATCACATATTAACTAAATTGTGCACATGAAGCACGGATTTACAGTGTGAACACTGGAATAATCACATAAAAAATAAATAAATTGCATGGAGCACATTCCATTGTGATGAAGCTCTTTGGAACGTACCAATATATCAAAATTATTTCCTAATCCAAATGTAAACCATATTCATCCACTTATTTTGAATAAAAGACAATAAAAATTCTCATATTGTATAACTAACAAGTGAACTTGCTGTGTTTAGGTTTGTGAACTGCACTTTAAATCCTCTGATTATTATCAACGGTCATCAAGTTATTTCGATGAACACACTGGACGAACTATAACATCCAAATTGGTTCGACATTGACTGAAACCTGGTGTAGTTCCACTAGTGCTTCCCAATTGGATAATAATAATATATAATACAGTGACCCCTCGTTTAACGAACACCTCGGTTAACGTAATTTCGATTAACGAACTGCCTTCCATAAGGATCTTCAATTCGGTTAACGAATTTCATACGAACCGACCTCAACATGTTTTCGCTTGCACTGGCCAGGCAACCAGCTTTAGTATCAGTCCGCCAATACATTAATCGGTTCTAGGGCTTAAATTCCTAACTATTTTAGTAAATATCAAGAAGTTTATACTATTCAATAATTTTAAAAGTTTGATATTCAATTTTTTAGTCATTTTAACAATTATTGAACATAATTGAAGGGAAAGTGACTAGTTTAATGTGCGGCATCCAGCCTCTTAACACAGCAAACAGGAGTTAGTCTCTCTCTGTTTTCACTGGAGGTAACATCTTGCTTGAGACTCTCTTCAACTAAACGCTTTTTTTGTGTGTTTCCAAGCAAATTATTGGTCATTTTGAAATATATTTTACATATTGACAATATATAATGCAGTGCAGTGTTGATTTAAAGAAAATAATCTTGAATTACACCAGAGCTAAAATTTTATGGGTGAAATGGTGCCATGGGGTGACTTCTCTTCCACCCGAATGCCTTCTCTTCTTCCTTCTCCTCCACCCCCATTCTAAATCCCATCATCATCATCATCATCATCCAGGAGCCTTCTACATACACACCTCAAAGTAAGTGAACTTTTCTACCATTTTTGTTGAATTTAGGATATTTTCGGTGAGCTGGAACCAATTACCCAAAAACCCATTGAAACAATGGTTTCGGTTAACGAACTTTTCGGTTAATGAACGACCTTCTGGAACGGATTGAGTTCGTTAACGGAGGGGTCACTGTAATGCAAAAGAAATAATGATAACGTTAGCGTAAAAAATAAGAGTGTGCGAAAGATTTTAACCATGATCAAATTCTAATACTATATCTTTATAATTCACTTTGTTCTATAATACAATAGTCAATTACTATTTGATTTTGAATGTATGTGTGAATTGGTTGTCAAATTTCATACACATTATTATTTTTCGATATCTTCTTTGTATCGGTGATAATCTGAATATGTACTTGAAATTGTTTTTTTTCTTGCCTATTATACATTCAGGTAATAAATTTCGCTGTCATTGCTTTTATATATTATGTATAGAAATGAATTCCTCAATAATAGTATATCTACATAATCAGACTGCGTTTATTCATTACAATGCACGGTTTCCATACACCGACACGAATAGCGGTGGTATCTGTGTGTGATGTTATACAATCCCTGAACCGGCCTGGTGTTCTAGGTGGCATTGCACCAACTCATTTGTCCAGTTTTATCACACTACATTATATCATTGAGTATATATATTTTATTTTCATTTTCATATAAAGTGTTATATACAGAAAATGGGTGATACAATTAAGATAACTAGCATTAATAGTGTATTCTCTATATGAAGCTCTTATACACATTGAATGTGTTTGTAGTTTGAGCTTTTCCCCATCTAGCTATTACATATCTTATTTATATCACTTATGTTATTTGTATATGATTTGTAATTCGAAACCAATTCCCTAATTATGTAACTGTATATTTTCAGCCTTCTGGCTGCCAAGCTCTTTCAATAAACCGTTAATTATTATTATTATTATTATTATTATTACCACTGTCATCGGTCCACTCGCTCATCGGACAATCCCAGACCAGCAAAATAGTAAAATCTTGTCGCCCTTATGATATTTTGGTTGCCTCGGGCGACCGGGCGTATGTGAATTTCTACCCCTGAAGAGGTTGTAATAAATCACATTAGATTTAAGAGCCTGACAAGCGACTGTGCAGCATGGAGAGCTGCCATTAGGTAATCGCAGCTAACCCATCCAAGCATGGAAAATGGCTGAAAAGCGATGACCGTGATATCTGACCTGCGTATCATATGCCACCGCTCTGATGAGTGCCTGCACTAAGCCAGCCTCCACAGCAGCTATCTGAACCTTAGGATTGCTCTGTACAGCTGACCCCAGAAGATGAAGGGCACCTTTCTTTATAGCACTACTGCTGGCATTTACTCCAGTCACTACAATCTGCTGGAGTCCACCTAAAATGACAAGGAAATAAACACAGAACTACAGCATGTTAAAGAATAATGAAGAAAGTCACACAAGGTGTAAACTAAGATACAATGTTAATGCAATTCCAATTTACTCTTTCACAGTGGCTGGCTCATACACAAGACTTAAATATAGGGTGCTGCATGAAAACTTGATTTACTAATCCCAATGAAATAAAAAATGACCTCTAGTGGTTTTCATCTAATCTATTTAGCAGACGACAATAAACAGTATCACAGCATGGCAGTGTACAGCACAATACTAATAATTCAAAGGATATGAGAGGCACCGGATACCCCGTTATGGCTGCATAAATTTTAACAACATTATAGAAGTGTGGTGTTTGCCAAAAATTTAAAACTGACACTGATATTAAAAAAAAGAAACTAGACTTACCCATATCAACAAAGGTGATGGCATTGTCAAACTGGTGAACAAGGTACTCTAGGTCCTCCAGAATGGTGACACGATCATCGTCAGAGTCCCGGTATTGCTTCATTAATTTGGTCATTATTTCTGAGTCTGTTTCCACTGCAATATTCAACTCCTTAAAGTCTCTCTTCAGTTCTCCGTAGGAGCGAAATTTTCCCTTGGTGTTTGCCGCTTCTTCACTAAGTTCCTTAGAAAAACAAGAGCACACAAACTTCTTATTTTTCCCCCCAGAGTTGTGAGTATGAGGGAGAATCATATAACTTGAAATCTTTAAATAAAAAAAGTGTAAGATTCCCTTTAAGTACCTACTCATACACACGTCATGTAAGCTTATGATTATCTTGCCCGATACATGTGCATCTTAATGTGCACATGTACAGTACTGTACATGCCTGTAGCCCACAAACCTCTATGTGTACACGCATCACTGCCAGGTTTGTAAGAACAATATTAAAGATCACCCGAGCCTAATACTTATTGCTGTTAAATATGTATGTGGCAGGGAACAGGTGTGCCGGTGAGTGGGAGGGATGTAACTTATGATATCTATAGTACAGTACTTAATCATTCATCTTCAGTATTATGACAGGACTGGAGATCAAAATATCTTTATCTTAAATGTGAGGTTAGGGAGGTGCGATGCATTAGTGTTAGCAGGTGTGTGTGAATATCGGTGTTAACATTTACTCAATGATTTATCTACAACTTTAAGACAGCATAATACTGCATTTTAAAATAAACATCACCAAAACCTAAAGTTCTGAATAACACCTACATTAACCAACATTACAGTATGTTTATTGTAAAAAAACATCTTAAATGCATTAGGTGGGAAGCACATACAAGCCATTCACAGCAAAGTCAACAAACAGTGCGGTATCATGTATCACACTCAACAGTCACTCACTCTTACAGCAATGAAAGAAATCTATTTTGGTCTTGTTTACCAACTCCTGATACACTGTCATGCACTATGGGGGACCTCTGGCTCTTCAAAAACACAATCCCTGGTTACTGCACAAAAGAGAGTTATGCGGACAATGACCTACTTGAAAAAAAACAATTCACACAAATGAACAATTTGCTAAATTGAAAATGTTAAAATTCGAGGATATTAACACCTACTGCTGTGCCCTATTTGTTACAAATCTGTCAATCACTTGCTTGACAACACTTATTTCCAGTTCCAGAATAATCAAAGATACAACTTAAGGCACCCAGAGCTACTAAGACCACCCCCCATGGGCTCCTCTCAGTCCCAGACCTCCATAAAATATCAAGGTGTAAAGGTGTGGAACAACTTACCCCCACCCATCCGAGCAAAGACTTTGCTCCCTTCCTTTAAATCATCTCTTAAAAAATATCTATTGTCTAAGTATTAATATTTTTGGTAACATCTATTTTATATACCTGCCTTTATTGTACCACCAAAACCGTTTTATCAGAAATTGCCATGAAGATAGATAGAAATTACAATTGCAATAAATATATTTGCCAAGTTGACAATCCTGACAGCTCTGACCTCTTGTTCCACCTTAACACACCCATGTTGTACTGCTTTCCTCATCATATTTATGTTTTCAATTCCACTGTAAATTATGTATATACTGTACTTTTAATACAAAAAATAAATAAAAAAATACCGAAGTAATAACTGTGGTAACATTCCGATATGTTCTTATTACCACCATGCTGTGTGTACTATTCCAGATGATACTAAATGTCACATAATACTTCCTTGAGATAAATGTACAGTATATATCAGGTGCCTTCAAGAGAGCTCAGGCTCTCAACAGGCTCAGCCATGTTAACCCTCAGCCGGCGGCAGCAGTGACTGAAGAAGGCAAATTTAATAAATGTCAATATATAGATGACGCCGACCACTGGAGTGGAACATAAATAATGTTACACCACATTTTGTGAAATTTTAACACCATCTATATATAGACTCTACCGCAATATGGAACAGCTGCTATATTTCATTAATAGCAAAGATGCTTTTAATATTAAAACGTAAATTTTGTAAGTGGCTATTATTTATATTCGTATAAGTAAGGCACGTGGAGTCACTCACACCCACAGCAAAGCTGTGTCCAGGATTTGTGACCTGGATGTGGTTTCCCTCCCACCCTCCCTTATTATATTGTTGCCTTACTGTTGCTTCTTATGGCATTTGTTCATTCACTGCTGTCACTCTCCTGTGTTGGAAGGCTTTCTGATGTGTGGTAAAACATGGAGTAATACACAGTGCAACTTGACAAACATCACAGCTGTAGATACTTCTCACTTTCTTTTGCATTGCACAGTAAGTACATCTCCTTTGATCTTTCTTTGTACAGTACTACCACCTTCAGTTGACTGTTTCTATTAGGAAATGTCTTCCACTCAGTCTTGTAGGGCATGGCCCGAGTCACTGAGCTTGTGGGTTTCTTTATCCAATAAACATCTTTGCTATATGTAGACACAATCTGTTCAATCAAGAACAACTTGAAGTCAAGGAGGTTTTTCTGGCCTCCATTTCTCTTGCAGATTACATGGCAGTTATGCAAACTCATTTCTATCAGCCTGAAAAATAGCTTCTTGTAGTAGTACGTACTTTGTAATACCTTCGCGCTCCTTCTGTTTTCTTCACAGACCTTGACTGCATATTTGTCTCCCTCTCTCACTATATGTTCTATTATATCTCAGTCTATAAAAGACAGAAAAATCTCTATTGGGTTCTGAGGATCTTGCAAAACTACTTTTACTACCGTGTCTCCCGTAAATGGAAATCGTTCTCTACTAACTGGAGAATTGTTCAATCATCCAACTGGAGCAATGTCATCTTGACCATCAATTTCTGCACCTGACAGAATATCATCTGGTTCCTCTGTAATAATCTCAAGTTGTGATTCATCACCAACACTATCTGATTTTGCATCATCACTAATATCATCCATGAATTCTTCATCAAAATCGTGGTCTAAAACAGGGGTTCTCAAACTTTTTTCAACCAAGGACCCCTTATATACCACGACGCATACAAATATTGTCAATAATTAAAGAATAAATCATAGTCCAAAGCATTTGTTCATTTCAACCCAAATCCAAAATATCCTGCGAATTGAAATCGCCAAATCTCTCACAAACGTTAAACGCACTATTTCTCAAAAACTTTTCGCGGACTCCAGTTTGAGAATCACTGGTCTAGAATATACTGTATTTCCTCATCAGGGCAAAGAAAATAAAAAGTAAAATAAATGGTGAAATGCCAGACAAAAAAAAAAAATTGAAAATTATATCTGACAAAACTTGGCTTTTCAAAGTATCAAAAGAAAGAATGGAATTTCAGCTCCACAGATGAGACAAAAGAGAGTGCTCTGTACCTTATGAAAGCTGGGAACAGACTGTTCAAGTGATTGGAGCTACAGGCAGCTGACGCTAGCGATCAGGCAAGCCATCGCCGCCCTTGAGTTGCTAGTTAGGGATTTCTGAAGCTCTAGGGCACTCATACATATCCGACTATATATAGTCTCAGCTGGGAAATACAGGAGATGAATTTTGGAGAAACGTCAAACGTCTATATATAGACTCACTGCAATTTTTCAGCACATTCCGGACCATCTATATATAGTTCGGCCGCCAGCTAAGGGTTAATACTGGAAGTATTATGATCTTTAATCAACTCTTTGTTATCTGTGTTCTTCTGGCTAAAAAAACAGTTTCAAATCTTGCCTTTGTGCTATGGTCTTATGTTTCATAACATCAACATTAGGCTTCCTTTACTTTTAGTTTAATACAGTACAAGGCAAGCAGCATGAATCATCAGGTTTGGTGACTACACACTATATATACTGCACAGTTTCCATTATAACATCAGTATTTAATTTTAAAATTGTTAGGTTTTGGGGTAAGAATTTTTTGAGCTGCAATGCATCTGTTTACAACCTGGGCTCAAGTGCAACACAGTTTTTAATAATTTTAATAATGGATAAGGAGTGAAATGTGTCCTGTTTTCTAAGAATTCTTCTAACAAACAATTTCTCAGGAACACAAGTAGCTCATTTTACTGGACCTCACTGTTTACACCAGATATTGTTTGATTAATTCACAATGTGAGAAGAAAGAGAATGACTTAATTTAGTGGAAGGGAATTTTGTCCTATTAATACAACTCCATCAATCAACAACATGGGCTAAACATGTCAGTACCAAAGATTGAGGACAAACCGCTGTAATGTCAAACTTTAGCTCTGTTTCGTTCAATGACGTCAGGCTAGTGACATACGCCATCTGGTGACTTGGGAGCAGTCACAAATGGTGACGACCTTACCTTGGTTGATGTTTGATTGTTTCATTTTTTAGAATACTCGTAAGGCTAAGGCTTTTCTGTGGTCAAGTAAAACAAAATGAATGCCTTATGTTCTCATAATCCTCCAAAAAATAAGTGGCAGCTATATGAAAAAAAATATTCCAAAGAAACAGAGAGTGAGTGAGTGAGTGAGTGAGTGAGTGAGTGAGTGTGTGTGTGTGTGTGTGTGTGTGTGTGTGTTTTTGCTGATGACATGGATGAAGCTACTCCATTTTTTGTTAACTTACAGTATTAGCAATGCAAAAAATTTTCCTTTTGCCAGATATGGAAAGGTGGATGTCTGAGGGTACTCTGGACAACTGGCTACAAGAAATCTTCCCTCGCGTCTTGAAACAAGCATGGTGTTGACGCCAGAAACACACATACCAATGTACTTCCCTTTAATTTTTCAAGATATTAAAAATATTCAGTTCTTTTTGGCCACATATAACAAGATGAATGCCTCACCCTCCTGTAGATACCTAGATATTGACAGACATTCCAGAATTAAGGAGATATACAAAAGAAATATGAACTCTCTCCAAACAAGTTCTCGGCAAGCTTTATGTGGCGTTTATATTATCAGAGCGCTTGCAGGCACTTATCCATTTATCACAAGTTTTCTTATCTCCGGGAAATCAGTAATACTTGATGTGTTCTCTACTTGGGATTAGTGCATTGCTGGTGCACCCGAATATTGCACAAATAACCATAATTATTGATACTGTACACTGGTCCTGGGAGCAGATGCGGGCCCACACAGAGGTCACCAGATGATGCGAGTTTACAACAGTGATGTCACAGAGCTGTGCATTGGGGGCAAAACAAGTGCTTGGTGAACTATTCTTACTAGTATATTATCCTTGCCTAAGGGAATGTATACTTTAGGGGTGGAAAATGAATTAACAGAGATAGCAATTACAGATGATATCATCAAAACGAAATTAACCAGCTTCAAAGTACTCAAAGCCCCTGGGGTGGATGGAGCACAGACCAAGGTGATGAAGGAGGTGCCAAACAAGATTTACACCCCACTAAAACTCCTATTCAAGAAATCCTTGGCTGAAGGTAAAGCAATTAGCCAATGTCACCCCAGTATACAAGAAGGATGTACTGTATAGGAAAAGTGCAGCAGAAAACTACAGGCCAATCAGCCTAACATCACATATATGCAAGCACTTCGAGAAAATTCTGAGGGAAGCCACTACCCAAACACCTAATCATACAGTCTTAGCGCATCAAAACACAGTGTCATAGAAAGAAAATCCTGTCTGATAAACTTACTCACGTTCCTTGAAAAGTTAACACAATATGTGGATCAAGGCTTACCATTGGAGGTGTTGTACGTGAATTTCTGCAAGACATATGACAATGTCCCACATGCATGACTAGCCTCTAAGATCCCGGCACACACATCATAGGCAAGATTTTGAAGTGGATTAACAACTGGCTCGAAGACAGACACCAAAGAGTAGTTAGAGAGTACATTCTGAATAGGAATAGGTACTCAGTGGAGTACCACAAGGCTCTACCCTTGGACCCACCCTGTTTGTGATCCACATAAATGACAAATGAAAATATATCAACATTGTAAAGTCTGCGGACAATGCGAAGAAAATTGGAAAGGTAGCAAATCAATACGACGTTACAACAATGCAGAAAGACCCAAATGAGCTGTCCAAATGGTTTAAGGACTGGCAAATGCTCTTTAACATTCTGAAATGCAAGAACCTACATGTAGCATACAATAACCCTAAGCACAACTATTCTGTTAATAACACTTTCGTGGATACTGTCGACAAGGAGAAAGCGCAGGGCGTTGTAACAGATCATTCACTGAAGGCAGCAAGGAAAGCAAATAGAGATTTGGGAATTATAAAGTGTACCTTTGAATATAACGATAGGAAAATACTCCTTCAACTGTACAAATCTCAAGAACGTCCTAATCTAGATTACTGTATGCAGACAGCTCTAACATCTCTAGAAAAGGTGCAACAGAGCAACTAAGATTATTCTGGAACTTGTCATCTTGATTATCCAAGTAGACGGTAGGCCTTAGGACTAACAACCCTTCAGACATGGCACAATAGGGCGGATCTCATTGAAACATTCAATATCCTGAAAGAGACGGAAAACACGAACCTGGGACATTTCTTTGTGATGTCACACACCACCAACATGAGAAAGCATAACTACAACTCGCCAAGTTATCATGCAGTACGAATATAAGTACTGTAAATGCTTAATCACACAAAGGGTGGAATCAAGAGCAATACTGGAATTCAAAATAGCCCTTGACCAAATTATCAAAAAGGGAGGGGTCCTACACAGATCACTGGCCTCCTTTCCTCAGCATGGCCACCTTTAGTGCATGGCCATTATGTAAACATGAACATTAGGGTTCAAATGAAATGATAATAATTAATTCATTCATCCTCAACTCAGACTACAAAAAATCATTACAGTATAATCACCTCTGGGGTCAAACCATCTTCACTCTTAATATTCTTAAGAGCTTCAAGTATATTGTCCCTCATGAGTGCAGCTCTCGGGTATTCTTCATCTTGATCATCAGTGGGAGGAGCCTCTGGGGTGGGGGTGTTAGAGGAGACTCCGGCCCCAGTAACGCCAGTGTGGCCGGTCTTACGTAAGCGCTCCAATGACTTCTCGTAGTCGGTTCCATCATCCCCGTCTAAGAGCTTTGCTTCTTTTAGTCCCGTCGCTAAGTTCATTCGTATATGGAGACCCGGAAGCACCACATGATCTGTCAACACAATAAAAATTATTAAAAGTCAAAACAAAATCTACATGTAAGGGAACCTCTGCTTTCTCATTCTTACTGTACCCTTCATCATCATCAAAGTTTTATGGCCCTTTTCCCAAGCTTATGTGGGTGAGCTGCGATAACTTGATGGCAGCTATCCATGTTGCACGGTCTCTAATCAGGTTCCTAACTCTAATGTCATTTTTCACAACCAAGTTCAATTATTATCAGAGTGGTATAGTATATTCAGACTATGTTTAGTGAGTAACAAATAACCTGTACAGTATAGTCTGGTTTTACACGGTTAATTAAACCCATGGAGGTCCGCGTATAAGCGAAACGCATCAATAAAATAACAGAACCTATGAGATTAATTGAAATAGAGACTGGGCCAACCGCTAGACTCACTTTTTTTGGCTATCACCGACAATACTATACATTGTAATAAAAATTACATCTTAATTTTATGATGGTATGCACACACAATTAATATATAAGAGAGGGGGTGCGTGGGTGGTAAGGATAAGTGGCCCAATCACAGTCTGTGACATCACCGGCGTGAGTCTGACTTCAGCGCCCAGCACCTTGCCCTGCTGCTTGCCACGTACATGATGCAATTTACGGTGTACAGTCAGTTTTGCTACAACACGATAGTTGTGTTCTTGTAAAACCTCGCGTTGTAGAAATTCGTGCAATAGAAATAACAGGGCTTATGGAGAATATAGGGTTAGGTGCAGATTACTCGAAATCGAAAAAATTTAGCAGTTAGCCTAACACAAAGGATAGCAGTCTAAATAAATATTACATTCATATCTAATAATGAAATCATACAGTAAATGTAACACTTTACCTTGAAAAAATATGAATATAACTTGAAGGGGGAGAAGGGCGATTTTGAGGTTGAGGAGTCGGGCCTTTCTTTTACGATCACCACCGGGAATGCGATCACCAGAACGCTTCTTGGAGATATTCTTCTTTTCCATATTCACAGTTAATACCTCAAAATTGGAGAAATAGTAAGCAAAAATCACTGAGGATGCTTCAAAACAACCCACACGTTTCAACTAATCGTGTGATTTTAACAGAGAGCGCGGGTGTAAAACGCGATTAGTCCGCACTGTGAAACATTATTTTTATTTTTTTTTATACAGTATTTATGGGAACAGCCAAAATTTGCAAAGAAGGATGAAATTTATAGAGTCCTTATCAAATAGCACTTCACAAACAAAACACATGAATCAATTGAACATGTGATGTCGAATGTGAACTGCAAACACGGCATAACCCCGCGCCAAGCGACAGTACACTCAAAACGTTCGAGTGGAATCGCGTTACAGCCAACACGCGTTCGCGTTTTACAAATATCGTTCTTCTATTCATCAATTGCGTTATAGCCAATTCGCATTGACAAAACACACATTGTTGCAGAAATGACTGTAAATAATAATTATCTCTTCTGACAGGTGCCGCGTAAAAATATCCGCGTAAAACCAGACTATGCTGTAGTAAAATACTCTGGCTGTAAAAGACATTAAAAGACACACTGAACCTGCATAATTATTGAAGTGGTTGTTCACCCTTGTAAGAATTTCTAAGTTTCATGGAGATCACAACGGTGACAAAGATTTTATGGAAAGTTTAGCTCTACAACTCTACTGAGGTAACAATAATATTGTACTGAACACTTAGTAAATATCTCAAGCACCTGGACTTTGGGAAAAATATGTAAATAAACCTGATGTTTCCCACTGAAATAGCCAATCCTGATGCAGGGATGGCATGAATAGCTACAGCAATTCAGTAGTCAAATAATTTACAGTCTGTTCATTTGTAACACGTGTTTTCATAATGCAAATTGGTTATAACACAACAAATGTACAGTATTAGGAAAGAGATTTTTTAAAATGCAAATGTGAATTTGGTATAATGCAATTGAGTCAACAATGTCGTGCAATTAGAATAAGCAGTTGTGCAGCTGTCTAGGTGTAGTATCACAAAATTCAGGACACTGGTGGAAGCTTTTGATGCTGTTCAAAGCAGTTTGTTAATGAAAAATTCGTTTGGTAATGAATGAAAAATATTTGGTATTAATCCTGAATAAATTCACATTTAACATGTGATCATAAGGGGTGAACTTGGCGGTAGGATGAGATAATTTTACTGTCCCACATGACTGAATTATTACCCGATCACTCAATCAGAGTACCTTCCTCATATATGATGGTTGGTGACCACAGTCCTCCAAGATATTCTATCTTACTGGAGACTAAGTTTTTAATTTAATTTAATTCATCCAACCCAGTCTCTGCCTTCCTCTGGTTCTCCTACCCTCATCCTTACCCACTAATATTTCTGCTATTCTCACCCCATCCCTAATTATATTACCAAAGTAGAGTACAGTATCTAAATTCTTTTTACCTGTAAATTTATAAGTATTGTTCTTGATTTTTTACCAGTCTTAGTACTTCTTTATTTGCCTTCCTGTCAGTGTAGCTTATTTTTATCATTCAACTATAACACCACATTTCAAAGGCCTCTAACCTTTTTCTGGTGTCTGCTTAAGGTACCCACACTTCTCACCCATCCAACAGTCCTTGCCATATACAGTACAGTAAAGCCTTTCAGCAGCCTCTCTCTCAGAGTGAAGTTATTGTATCTTTTCATTAGGTCTTTTAGATTATTGAATGCTGTTTTTGCTTGAACTATTCTTATGATTTCTTTCACACATCTTCCATCACAGCTAATATTACTTCCCAAATACACCCTGTACAGTACATTGCTGCAAGGCTTCATCACCCTTCAGTAGACTGCAGCTGAGGTTTCTCAGTTCCTTTGCAAGACTTACAGTTGCCATGGAAGGGTTGACCGATCTTCATATGAGCACAATGCAACCTTGATATAAGATTCCCTCCATTCCTAACCTCACAGACTCTGGCTGGCACAAACTGTCCAGTTGTAACCGACTCACCTGGCTCTATAACTTGCCATTCCTTGGTAGGGATGAAAACTTTACTGATGTCAACGAGTTTCTTTGGCTCGGAATATTCCTCCACAGTGACACCATCATCGTCATCGTCAGTCTCCACCACCACCAACTGGTTGTCCTGACTGCGAGTGTCTGTGATCATCAACACCATCACCACCGCCGTCACCACTACACCCAACACCCACTTCATTCTTGTGTCTTCACAGTCTGAGGATGATACACAAAGGGAAAAATCAATAAAAGCAAAAGGTATAGTACAGTACAGTATAGTATTTTAATTCTTAACCAATCATGAAGGATTCTCTACAACTGTACCACGATATTACTATTTTGCTGTCACTCGGATTCGAGTATGATGATCATCCAGCTATGATACAATGATATGAGCTATTAAGGATGTCACCTTCGTTAGTGAGTTCTGAGGTGACTAGAGGGGCCAATACAGGACCGGGAGGCCCGTCTACAGATGTTGCTTGTCAGCCGCGGTAGCTAGTCGGGCTAACTCGCAGGTATTGACACCTTCTCGTGTGGTGCCCCTCCAAGCATTACGGTGTGGAGTAATCGTCTCCCAGGTGAGGGGGTCAATTTCCCACTTTTCTGGTTTGTCTTAAGACTATCCTTATACCTTTTCAGTTGCCAACCAGCGTTACATTCACTATTCATTAGGTGACTAAAGTAGCTGCTTTGGCAGTCTACTGTCGTGAATACGGGTAACATGGCCAGTCCAGCGTAGTTGTTCATGGATAATGGTAGCCTCGATGCTCCTACAGCTGGTGTCAGCGAGAATACTGGCATTTGTTCTCTTGGCTTTTCAGCGAACTCAGAGGATGGAACTTAGACTACGTTGGTGAAAGTTTTCAAGTGCCTTGAGGTGCCTATGTCTCGCTGCCATGTAGCAGGGTGGTGAGGGACACTGCTCGATATACATGCAGTTTTGTAGATAATTTCAGCTCCCCACAGCTGAAGACTCAGGTACAGAGTCTGCCAAAGGCTTGAGATGCACATCTGATCCAGTGTTGAATCTCTTCATTGATGTCTGCGGTGGTGGACAGGTGGAAGCTGAGATACAGAAAGTGGGTTACATTAGTGAGGGTAGTACCGTTAAGCTGAATGGATGGTGGAGGGGTGACTGAGCCAGGGGCAGGCCGAAAGAGAATCCGAGTCTTACGTACAATCACCTCAAGTCCGAAGCATGCATACGCATCTGTGTAGGTGTTCAGGATCTCCTGTGAGTAGCGTTCAGTGTGAACGACAAGGGTGAGGTCATCTGTATACTGAAGTTCAGTACTGGAAGCTGCCAACACCTTTGTTCCTGCCTGGAGTCATCTTATGTTGAAAAGACCCCTCATCTGTACTGGATGTCCACCCCACCGGCTAAATTGGCACTGCCATGGGTAAGGAAAGCAGCCAAGAAAATGAAAGAGAGATTTGGTGCCAGTATACGTCCTTGTTTTACCCCCGTTTGGATGAGGAAGAACTCAGACTGGGTGCCATTGTGCAGGACACTGCCGTTCATGCTATCATGAAGTTGCCTCACAATGGCGATGAATTTTGGTGGTCAGCCAAAACAGCTCAGGGGTCCGCCAGAGGGCTTCCTTGTTGATCGAGTCGAAGGCCTTGGTTAGGTTGATGAAAGCCATGTACAGGTCACAATGCTGTTCTCTTCACCTTCGCTGTTATCTGGAGGGCAGCAAAGATCATGTCAGTGGTGCCACGAGTTGGTCTAAAGCAACACTGAGATTCTGGGAGGAAGTTTTATGTCTAAGGAAGAAGTCTGTTGAGGAGGACTCTGGTGATAATCTTGCCAGCTATGGACAGCAGCGAGATCCCACGGGTAGTTGTCACAGTCTGACCAGTTTCCCTTGTTCTTATAATTGTTGACGATGGAGGCGTCTTTAAGAGCTTGGGAGATTTCCTCCTTTTCCCATATATTCTCCAGGAGTGAATGGAGACGGCTAGTAACCAGAGATCCTCTAGCCTTATACACCTCAGGTGGGATTCTGTCAAACCCTGAGGTTTTGTACATTTCATGTTTGATGGCAGTAGCTACTTCATCCAGGGATGGAGGTCAGCTGAGGTGGGTCAGCTCTGGATGCTAAAGGGCATGTTGGGTAGTCCACATCGGTGTTTCAGTTGAACAGCGAATGGTAGTGCTCTTTCCAGCGCTGAAGGGGGCTGTGCCACGAGTGATTGGGCTATAAAATGTTTTAGTGGAATTGAAAAATTCACGCATCTTGTGCTGATTTGCAAGTCTTTGCATTTTACATGCTTTATTTATAAACCAGTCGTTCTTTAGCATGCAAAGTTCACACTGGGCCATTGCAATCTTCTTAAGTAAGGTATCAGCTTTGGTCCTAGACTAGGGTTGTTCTGCCAGTCAGTTAAAGCAGCATGTTTATCATAGCTAAGTACATTAATTTCCGGGTGATTTTCATCCAACCAGTCCTGGTGTATTTTTTCGATCTAGCCGAGGGTCTCTCTGCAGGTTTTTGTCATGACAGTGTTGAGAATACTCCATTCAACATTGGGATTTGGGTTGTTTGTTGTCGGGTTGTTTATCAGCCCATGTTTGAGTTGCTCTCTGAAAGCATGTGCTACCGCTGGATCATCCAGATGCTTATTATTAAAACCTTTTCTGGAGGCTTGTTGCCTTCGCTGTTTTGAGGCGATGTGAAGTGAGAGCTTGGCTCTGATGAGCCGATGATCAGTGTCGCAGTGGTCTGAGCCATGCATGGCTCGGTTGATGACATCTCGGCGATCACTTTCTGTGACAATGATGTAGTCAATGAGATGCCAATGTTTGGATCGTGGGTGTTGCCACAAATCCTGGAACTTGTCGGCTTGTCTAAACAAGGTATTGGTGATAGTGAGGTTGTGATCAGCACACTTGCTGAGGAGGAGTAGGCCGTTGGGATTACCCTTGCCTAGTTCATTTTCCCTATAATTCCCTGCCAAATGTCAGCTCCTCTGCCAACTCTGGCATTGAAGTCACCTAAGAGCACAACCTTTCTGTCTATGCCATGGAACACAAGAAACATGACACTTTCGAAAAGCATATACATACTGTATTGTACAGTACTATAGTTCCTTCTATAAACTACTGTATTAATATAAAATTGTTGAATTTTACAATCTATTTATACAAGAGTTTTCATTATAAGAGAATCTAGAGGGTAATGCTTAGTGATACTGCATTATTTTTTCTACCAGTGTCTCTTGGTGGAAAGACCATCATGGCATATATGATGATGGACTCATCTGATCTTAAGATGACATTTAGGCAGTTGCCAGTGTGACGAGACATGAACTTATTCAATTATTTACGGACAAATTACAAGGAATTTTCACTAAAACTTGTTTCTTATATATACTAAATGCACATTACTGTACAGTACAGTATTTATATTCATTATTTTGAACCCTATACCTTCCCTCTGCTTCCCAACTCTGTCTACTGACATATGTTGTAAAGGTGTGCCCTGGGCAGAGTTGTAAAGTAACGAAATAAATATACAGTATTACCCCGCCTAACGCGGTTTCACTTAACGCGTTTTATCATATACGCGGTGCCTCGCCAGAGCTGAACTTTCACTTAACACGGATTTTTTCCACATATACGCGGTGAGTGTCCGGCTCGAGAAGCTATTTTTAGATTTGCCCCACCCCCCACCCTGCCTGACTGCCTGTTTTAGCTCATAAAATTCATAAAAATTGCCCGGTCAGAATATAATTTACATTGCTGGAATTCTTATAATTTGGTGATCATTTTGAATATAAACATCATATATTTTGCATTAGACATACAAATTTTAGATAAATTTTTTTCTCAGAGTAACTATGTTATCTTTTGTGCAAAATATATGACATTTATATTCAAAATATTCCTGGTCTTACAAGGAATCCAGCAATGTCAATTATATTATCCTAACTTTAGTTTGAGGTATTATTTATTACAAAAAAGTTAAGTACTCTGGTTTTCCCACACATCTCCTTGGGATGGTTGGTGGGGGGTGGGGGGTGGGGGGGAGGGAGGGACCGACCGACCATCTGTTACCCCGTGAAGAATTTTTTTTTTTTTTATTAACTGAAGATATTTGTTTTAGCTCATAAAATTCATACAAATTACCCGGTCTGAATATAATTTACATTGCTGGAATTCTTATAATTTGATGATCATTTTGAATATAAACATCATATATTTTGCATTAGACATACAAATTTTAGATAAAAATTTTTCTCAGAGTAACTATGTTATCTTTTGTGCAAAATATATGACATTTATATTCAAAATATTCCTGGTCTTACAAGGAATCCAGCAATGTCAATTATATTATCCTAACTTTAATCTGAGGTATTATTTAATACTAAATGTTAAAAACTCTTGAAGGGAGGATTGGTGGGGGGTGGGGGGGAGGGTTGGGACTGACCGCGCGGTTGGAAGAGGGGGGGAGGCAAGGTGGGGTACTTTGATTGACAGATAGTGTCCTGAAGATTATTTTTTTTTTTATTAACTGAAGATATTTGTTTTAGCTCATAAAATTCATACAAATTACCCGGTCAGAATATAATTTACATTGCTGGAATTCTTATAATTTGGTGATCATTTTGAATATAAACATCATATATTTTGCATTAAACATACAAATTTTAGATAAAATTTTTCTCTAGGTAACTATGTTATCTTTTGTGCAAAATATATGACATTTATATTCAAAATATTCCTGGTCTTACAAGGAATCCAGCAATGTCAATTGTATTATCCTAACTTTAGTTTGAGGTATTATTTATTAAAATTTAGTGGTTTTCCCCCCAAAATTTCTCAGAGAGGGAAGAGCCAGCAGTGTAGTGTGAGAAGAGGGGGGAGGGAGTCGAGTCCATTATTTGAATGGACATTAACTTGGCGACTGTATTTCTCTATTTCTCTAAGTATTAATTGTGTGCATGTACCATCATAAAATTAAGATGTTATTTTTACTACAACATAGTTATGTGTCTTCAAAAAGTGGAGTTTGGGGGTCGGGCCAGTTTCTATTGGAATTAATCCCATATGTTCTGTTGTTCACTTAACGCAATTGACCGCGTTAAGTGGGGTACAACTGTACTTGAATACTATACTCGAGTAACTTTTTTGGGTATCTACTCTTTAAAAAGTAAAATTTTTTTTAGTACTTTAACTAAAGTATGGTTTTATAATACTTTTAATCCAA